ACCAATAAATAAAATAAATAATAATAAAACATCTAGTTGATATGACATGTACAGGCTAGTTGAACAAATTCGAGTGTTTATAAAAAATGCCACATTTCTTCACCTGACACATAAGTGGCATTTTTGGGGGGCATATATTATGCTGGAATTTCTAATTGGAGAAAAGTCAACAAGAATGCTACATTGAGAAAATGCTAAATGTTAGTATTAATGACAAGCACGTCGACTAGAGAGTTTCGACTAACATGTTGAACATGGTTTGGAAAAGTCTCAAGAACAGATCTTGAACATGGTTTGGAAGAATCTCATGAGCAGGTCTAATTAATCTTTCAACACCATGTCGAGGTCGAAGCTTTTGCAAACATGAAAGACTTAGAAGATTTTGGAATCCAAAGACTTGAAAGGTTATCTCAGCACTAGTTTTTCACAAACTACCTTCGACAAGCAGACATTTATATGCTTAGAGCAGTTATGAACATGGAATAATGGCTTTTAGTAGTTTGCAATTTTTGATAACATTGCAGTGCTTTAGAAAACTAAAGTGCACGTTCTTAATACGTGTCCACTTCTTAGGAATAAACTGTTGGAGCCATTTATCTTTAGTTTAGTATAAATAGTAGGCTTATGCATTAAAATCAAGGTCGCAAAATTCATACAGTTCTCTATAGAACTGGAGTACCTTAGTTAAATAGAAAAATAGTTTGTGAGTAACATGTATGAGTATGCGTCCATTCCTTTCATTGTCTTTATGTTTCCTTAATTGAAACACTTTTCTACTTGTCATTTACCATATTTTATTTAATGTTATTTATTGCACTTTTCATTTATTATGTTGACCTAAGATTTTTTGTTATTAAAGTTTGTGTCCACTTTGTCTTCATATAGACATCCACATTTACTTCACACACACTTTTTCTTGTACACTTGTTTTGCACAGATTGCTTCCTATATTTTTTTGAGTTAATCTCACAAGTGAACTAAACTCGTGATTATTTTCTAAAAACACATGTGAATAGGGTTGTGACATAATATAGGGAATGGATTTCATCTTTGAAGAAGAGGCAATGAAACTATAGCCGAAACATGAGAGTGTATCATTAGATGGAGACATTAGGTTATTCATGAATGATAGAAATGTAAAAGCTTCCGCACCTTCGAGACTTGGTATACCAATTACCATATCTTGAGTAATCAGTTGATTGAGTGATTGAAAGTTCAAATGTCTAAACCTCAAATGCCATATCCAACTATGCTTGTGGTCGACAACAGTTTTTAGACATTCACTACTACGAAAAAGACATACAACAACGGTTGGGAAAGATATATAATCATGCGGGTAATGGTGTTGTTAAGTAGCGTGTGATTGTATATGGGTTATTTACAATCACAATCCAGTACCCGTGGTAGAAAACTGGAAAGTGCGCTACTTATAATCACGGTTGTTTTAAATATCCGTTGTTGTATGTCTTTTAATGAAATTAAAAAAAAAATGCAGCATTAGAACTACCTATAATTACAGTTATTTCAAATACCCGTTGTTGTATGTCTTTTAATAAAATTAAAAAAAAATTGCAGTATTAGAACAAGAACAACAACAAGAACAACAAGAACAACAATAATATCAAGAATAATAAGAAGAAGAACAACAACAATAATAAGAACAACAACAAAAATAACAAAAAGAAGAGCAAGAACAAGAACAACAACAATAACAAGAAGAAGAAGAAGAAGAAGAAGAAGAAGAAGAAGAACAACAACAACAACAACAACAACAACAACAACATAAATAATAAAAAAAAACAACAAAAACAACAATAATCACAACAAGAATAACAATAATAAAAAAAGAGCACCAACAACTAACATTGCTAACTCGAATCCATATTTTCCTTGTCTCATTCAAGTTGTAGAAGAGATGATGGAGTTCTGAAATTTGTTAATGAAAGAAATGATATTTTTGAGTTTTGTTTATAAAAGATATGTTGTTTTCGAGTTTGGCTTAATGGAGAAATAGAGTATCCTAAATGAAAGATGATGTTTGGAGGTAGAAGATGTAGTTCGTCTAAGTTACAAGTTCATCTAAGTTTTAAGTTTCACACGGATCATTAATAGTAGTGTCTTAATCGTTGATAATCACTAAATAGACGATCAAGATTTGTTTTAGGACAGTGAATAAACTCAATAAGCACGCCATCTATAATGTTGGTGCTGGGACTTGAAAAAATAAGTAAAAAACCAAAAATGTTAGTATTGGGACTTGAACCCATGACCAGGCGCTACCTATAATCACGGTTTTTTAAATACCCGTGGTGAAAGGTTTGTCAGTATTTTAAAAAAAATAAGTAAAAAATGCTACCTATAATCATGGTTTTTAAATACCCGTGGTGAAAGGTCTGTCAGCATTTTGAAAAATAAGTAAAAAAACCAAAAATGTCGGTGCTGGGGCTTGAACCTATGACAAGACGCTACCTATAATCACAGTTTTTTAAATAATCATGGTGAAAGGCCTCACTTTTCACCACGGTTGGAATTTGAACCGTGATTAAAAGTATTTTAATAAAATAAATAGAAAAATGCACACTCCTAAATATCACATATTGCTACGGTGAATAGGAAACCATTATTACTTTGGCGTTGTTGTTTACGCACTTTGTAGTAGTGATTGTACTTCAGTCGAACTGATCATGGTCTTGAATGTCCTATTATTTGATAAAGGAGATTTCAAGACCGAATTTCTTTGAGCTTTAAATAGTTCTAAGACTCCATCTTTCATAATCACTAAGAAACATTTTCTGACCAATTATCTAACACTTAGCATATTCCACTTCATTCTAGGTACATATAGTACATCTTTGATCATAACTTTTGCTCAATTGCTCATTTGAATAACTATGTCGCCAACGCCTTCTGCTTGCAATGAGCTATTATCAGCAAGTTTGACATTGCTCTTCTTCGACTCGCCAAAATCTACTAACCATATTTTTCGACCCGTCATGTTATTAGAACAACATGTGTCGAGAAATTAGATCTTGGTGTCGACTTGCTCATCTGCCACTGCAACCATAACCGCCATGTCTTCAGAATCATATAAATCTTGGCGTGCAAGGTTTTCTCCTTCATTCTTGCCTTTCTTGTACCAAAATTACTTGGCCAAGTGACCCCATTTTTCACAGTTATAACATTGCACGCCTTTTTTCTTTTCACTGTCTTTTTGATAGAAATTTCTTTCTCCTCTTTTCACGGATTCAGAAGCCCCATCATCGACCTTATGCTTTTGAGGGTTCAACTAAGACTTCTTGCTTTGAGTCTTATCTTCTTTTCCCTTGAACTTGTTGGAACCACCATGTTTCTTCCATGTCTGAGCCTGCAGAGCATTTATCGAATCTTGAACACCTTTCCTTTCGACAATCCTTATCTCATGTGTCTCCAACGAATCAACCAAATCCTTTAATTTCAATGTTTCAAGATTGTTGGATTCTTGAATAGTAACGATAACTTGATCAAAGTGAGAGGTCAATATACACATTACCTTCTCAACTATCATCTTATCACTCAGGGTTTCACCACAACCTTTCACGAGATGAACAAGCTTATGTATCTTCAAGACATAGCCTGCAATTTCTTTTTCTCCCATCTGCAATAATTCATATTGCATTCACAACGTTTGCAATTTGACGACTTTAACCTTCTCACCTCCTTCGTAATACTTGACAAGAATATCCCATCCCTTATTCGCCGACTCAACATGAGAAACTCGATCAAAGTTTGTCGCGTATACCGCCGATTGAATATAAAATGCAACCTTGCAGTCTTTCTTCTTGGCCTTCTTGTTCGCGACTCTCTGAGTATCCGTTGTGTTTTTAGCAAGCTCAAGGACGCCATTAGTAACCACTTCTAGGCTTTTGTGAAAGTCGGACAGAGTTTGCATTTGTTTTCTCCATCGGATCCAATTCTTGTCGTCAAGAATTGGAAGAGAATTCGGAATGCCATTGTTACCATTCATCTTTGCAGTAAACACGATTAACAATCCACGACCAGGGACGTGTGATTCTTGAAAACACGGTCAAAAAACTAACCAGAGCTCTAGATACCAATTTGTTAGTGCATGAGACACTTTTAGTGAGAAGAGAAAAATGAGAGAGAATGAAAATAAGAATTGATATTATTGAATTATGATTGTACAAACTGAATCACAAAATATGGCTATTTATATACAACTAACTTACATACCATGTAATAAATCCTAAACCCTAATTAACTTTGTGATTTGGCTACACAATTTAAATTATATCACAACAGACACACATTTAAATCGATGGATGTCAATAACGTTTCACTTTTATTTCTCGACAATCCATTTTCATTTAATAATGACACATCAACACACGATCAACTATAATCTAATAATCGTAAAACTCATCAATATCAATATCCAAAGTCATTTTAAATATGAGATTATTTATCATGCACTGCCAATATAAAAAATTATAAATTGTCGATTTATCACCATTATCAATTATTGGTATTATTTTATAAGTAGTTAAAATAAAAATCAAACACTTTTTACTCACAGATTACAAAATACAATAATATTGTAATAAAACGTTGTACTATTACTAAATTAGTCTTATCAATACTATTACAAGTAATAATTAAAAGATATAAATTGAAATATGATAATGATATTATTTTAAATAATTTTGTCAAAAAGACAATCATCTTAAAAGTAAAGATGTAACATTCATCTTCTTAATAATTTACATATGGTTGAGTATTTCAATTAAATTCTTTAAATAATTACACAAACATCAAAGTGATAATTAGATACAAGAACCAAAACATAATATACCAATCCCTTTACCGTTTTACCTCTATGACTTTCTTTTCTATCCACAAAATGTACATTGTCGCTACCACTCAATTATGTATCCACTATCTTCTTTATCCATAACCCCTATCCCTCTCTCATTCATTCTTAATATCACACAAAAACTCTCAACATGGCGGCTTTGGCCTCCGCAACCGCCACAGTCTCCACCTTCGCCGTGAGACTCACACCATCTTCTTTTTCTTCTCGCGTCTCTCTCACTTCAGCTAAATTCCCTTTCTCAAACAATGTCAATCCCCTCAAACTCAATTGGTCCAGTAGCATTTCCGCCCCAATTCTTCACCAAAACATTTCCACTGTTACCGCTCCTCCTCGTTCTCTCACAATTGTTTCCGCTAAAGGCTACAAAATGAAAACTCACAAGGTCTTCCTCTTCCACAAATTCGTTTCAGCCTTCAATTTTGAAATTATTTGAATTTGATTTTGATTTTGATTTTCCACAGGCATCGGCGAAGCGATTTAGGGTTACGGGCGCCGGAAAAATTGTGCGGAGGAGAGCAGGGAAGCAGCATTTGCTATACAAGAAAAGTAAAAAGAGGAAGTTGCGACTCTCCAAATTGGTTAGTTTGTTCTACATTGGTTTCTCAATGGAAACTTAATATATTGCTGATGATGATTAATTGCTAATAAATAACTGTATTTGTTGTGGCATGTGGAGTGTTTGTGTTCTACCTTCATGTTTTTTTTCCCTCCAAATTATCTAACTAATTGCATGCTATGCTTGTAATATACTTTTGTGTTATTGGCTTGGTTATTTGGAATAAAGTACTTTAAGCCAAGTTTTTAAAAAAAGTTCACTTCCTGCGACAAAACGGTATCACTCTTTTTACCATAAAGAAAAAATCCTGGTTAATTCACACCTCGACGACAATGTCACAATACCTGTAGCAACTGAAATCACAAAAGCCTTTACACAATTGCAACCACGTACCTTTTCTTGCTCAAGAGTTCCTTAGGAGTTTTGATACAAAAGGGTACAGGACAGGATTGTGAGATTTCTAAATCAGGGTGACTCTCACAAAATGGGAATAGATGCAAAAGTTGGAAGATAAAATCTGTCTTTTCTCTATTTTTCACATATCGTGAGGATAAATACAAGATTGTGATATGAAAACATCTACACTATGCACTTGTATACCAAACAAAGTACCTGCAATATGAAGCTCTGGTAGTTACATATATGTATTTTGCTTTCCAATTTCCATGTCCATGTATGCTGATACCCCTAATGCCATTTTGATCTTATGCTTCAAATTTGTGTAGTAAGGTCTTAAAACAAACTTGAAAAGATTTTGCCTTTTCCCTCACTATCCTGTGAATTATGAGTTTTTCACACGGTTGTGTCTGGTCTTTAATTTTTTTTCCTCGTATATTGAGATTAACAATTTGGATTATACCATAGTCCTGAATAGAACATTATGGCGAAAGTTGATTCATGTAGTTGACTCCACTTAGTGGGATAAGGCTTAATTGTTGTTGTTGTGTCAAGAACACACAATTCTTGTTTCTTACAAAGATACTTCGTTATAAGTTTCCTTGGGCAGGTAGGTAGTTATTATATGAGAATGTGGAATTTTAGCTGTCAATATCAGATATTGTTTAGAACATTGCATTATACTCAAAAAGTTGACATTTGTCTGATAGATATGGTCCTGATTGAAGCCTGTGTTATGTTAATAGCTTAATAGTTAGTTGGTAAGTTAGCTAACTATGAAATAAGGCATGTTTCATAATCATAACAAAACATCCACAAATACTAACCTACTGTCTGCAAATGTTGGTCGCTTAAATTTTATCTGTAAATTGATGTGAAGTGTTAAGTTATGGAGTCGATTTCCTCGTCTCTTAACATTTTTTTATTGCCGAACACAGGTCCAGGTCGACAGAAGTGACTATGACAATGTAATTGGAGCATTGCCATATCTAAAAGTAAACAGAAAAGCTACATAAATAAATGCTGTGATTGCAAATTTGAGTCACGAATCTAGCCCTGTTTAGTCTTAATGAATTGTGAGATCTCCAATATCTTTTTACAGTATTTGAAAGTTATTTAATTTTACTGATGAATCGAGATAGTTTTTGCCACTTGAAATATAGCAGTGGCTCCTGAAAATGTTGCCTTTTCTGTATCATGTAATAACATTTTGTATTTATATCATTGTCACTTCTACTATTTGGATTTCACCATGTAAGGTGAATCTTTTTTAATGAACTTTTGGTGGTGAGTTATGTGGTCACCATAATCTACATGTTTGATGAAATTTTGCCTTTCAATTTTTAGCAATCGGGATATTATTTTGATTTTCGAATGTCAAGATAATATAATCCTTAATTGTATTAAAATTACAAAAATATAATGATCTTGAATATATCTTTCGATAGTTAATTTTATCATTGAATTTGTCTTTTGTTAATCTAGTGTTGAATTTGTGTGATACATGGGAATTATGTGTGTGAAGTTAATTAATAAATGAGATAAATTTGATTTCAACTTTATAACAAAAACCACAAAAAATGAAAGGTAAACAGTAAATAAATAATGGATGTTTGAAAATATTTACATTGCTAAAATTTAAAATTTACATTAGATCAAAATTGAGTTGGTAGCAATTTTTTTATTTCGGTGACATTCTCTGTTTTGACTTATTTATTGAGTCTAGACTTTGATTTTTTTTTTTTTTTTTGGTTTTCTTCCTTGGACATTTTCTTAGTTAGTGATTGTTCTGGACTGGACCGACGCTTGACCCACAATCGAGCAGACCCCAAACCCGACTAGATTTGGGCCCAATAAGACCTCGTCGACAGGCAGAAGATCTGTCGGGCACAACACCTTCTGTCGGACACAGGCCAACCGCCGTCGGGCAAGACCTTTTTAGCTGTTCGGCTGACCTCCTTCTCCCCCTCGGTCGGGCAGAACCCAGCCAGCCCGGGAAGCTCCTCAGACCTTCCCCACGTTCTCTACGTGTCCCCTACGCGGAGACACGTCATCAAGTAACTACCCGTGTCCTGATGAGTCGGTCATCCACCTCCCGGATAGCACGAAATAGTTACACTAGGGTGAAGACCACGTGCTGGACTTCACGACGCCACGTCAGCCCTAGCAGTTACCTACGTTGGGCCTGACAGTCCAACCCAACGCAGAGTAACCGTTGGCCCTGCGCCGGAGGCTCATTATAAATACCTTCTTCCACTAGAGGGTCAGGTAATCAATTCTTACTCCTTTTCTCTGTACTTGTAATCGCTTTGTCTGTCACTTACTTTGGCATCAGAGTGTGTTTCAGATACACCCCCTCTGCCCATCAAGTCTACCGCTCGACAACTCAGACGCGTGGCAGCCCAGCGATCTCTCTTGTCAGGTACGATCAGTGGCGTCGTATGTGGGAAACTAAGCTTCCTCGTTCCTCCGAGCAGAAGAACCAAATCTTCCTACTTCAAATTCCGAGATCATGAGTAGCCCACATCACGACGACGTTGTCCACAATTCCGCTTTCGTCCCGATCACCAACGACGACAACCAGCTGGGAACGTCTCAAGTCTGCGAGACCGACACCAGGGACGGCCAGACCGCCTCTCCTTCGTCTGAGGACGTGACACATCACGTCGCACCTCGGGCGAGGAGTCCGACAGTCTTCCAGTCCGTTCCCACGCCGGCTGGGGCGGACCCGACGATGACCACCCTCTTCGCGGCTATCAATCAGACAAATCTGATGTTGTACCAGCAGAATGAGCACATCGGCGCCCTGGAGCAGGATACCTCGTCTCGCTCTCCCCCGTGGAGAAATCTACGCGGAGACTCTCGAAGTCACTCTCCCCGTCCACGGGGGCGCCGACCACTACTGGAAAGGCCACAACCCGTGGCCTCCAAGAAACGTGCCAGGTCACCTCCTCGGAAGGAGAGGCGCTCCCCAGAACCAAGAGCGGATAGACCGGAAGCTCCAGCCAGAAGACCAAGGGGGCGTAATCAGCCTCATCGACACGACCCGTCGCCGCCACACTCCCTTGTCCGCAGTGACGAAGACGACTATAGGACCCCTTATCGCGGGAGATCATGGCAATCCCCATCTCCCACGGGATGGAGAAGCCGCCCGTACTCTCCATGTACGACGGTATAGATCCGGACGATCATCTGGACGACATCGAGGCCATGCTCGACTACAAGAACGTCCGGGGAGCCATCAAGTGCAGGCTCTTTCCGACGACGCTGAGGAAAGGGGCCATGGTTTGGTACAAAAGTCTGGAACTTGAGTCTGTCACATCGTGGAGAATCCTGAAGGATCTTTTTTCGCAGCATCTCACAACATCACGACGACATCCGAAGACGGAGGCCGCCCTGGGCGCAATCATCCAGGCTCCGGATGAACCGCTCGGAAACTACATTGAGAGGTTCACGAGGTCGTGGCAATCCACCGTCCGAGCACTCTACAAGGCTTCCTCGAGAAAGCCCGTCACTACATCCGGTACAAGGAAACCGAGGCCGCTAACGCTGCCGAGGAGTCCTGAAACCGTGAAAACCCTTGCGGATCCCAAGAAGAAGGAACGTTAGCCCCCCGACGTGGGGGAGATCGTCGTCGCGCCGATCGTCCCAGAGAGCCCTAGGAGTAGAGGGCCCCAGCAGACCGATTCACCGAATACACCGCCCTAGTCGCTTCCCGCGAGCGCATACTGGCCGAGTGTGCCAACTCGGAGTTCGTCTGGGGAGGTGTCCGCTTTCCCAAACCAGCACCCCCCAAAGCCAACGTGGACAAGTCCAAATACTTCCGCTTCCACCGGGGACACGGGCACGTTACGGAGGACTGCATCCACCTGAAGGATGCGATTGAAATACTCATCAAGGATGGACACTTGAAGAGATACACCAGGGGAGGAGATGCCCCCCGACAAGAGGCCCAGGAAGCCAAGAGAGTCGAGGACATCCCCCCTCCCACCAACGAAATCGGGCTACAGGTGGCCCTCTACGTTGATCGCCCCGAGGACTGGTTCTCACTGAGAGAACACGGCCTCCCTGCCGGGCATGATTTACCCGAAGAACCGGTACGCCCAATCAGCCTGTGGGAATACTTTCCCAAGGCGATGGTCATCTCGGGCGGTACCCCAAGCAAGCTCTCGACTGGGTCGGTGAAAAGGAAGTTTGACGAACTGATGAACAACAACTCCAGCAAAATGAACACGCTCGACAAATTCCACGGTCGATCAAACCCGATCACATATTATCTCGAAGAGCTCCCTGAGGGAGCTCCAAACTTGGCCATCCCCCTACTGATACGAGCACAAATGGATAATTTCAATGTCCGCTGCATCCTGGTCGACGGAGGGAGCTCGGTGGATATCATGTATACCTACCTCTTCTCGATGCTACAGCTCGACGAGACCAACCTAACTCCCTACCTGGGTTCCGACCTCCAGGGCTTCAACGGGACAACGACAAGACCATGGGGATACATGGAGCTCAAGGTCACCTTTGGGATGCAAGAAACGGTCAGGGAAATCAACGTCCGCTTCCTGGTCGTCGAATGCCCATCCCTGTACAACTGCATCCTAGGCAGGACAACGTTGGTCGGGCTCACCGCAGTGCCGTCAACTGTCCACCTCAAGATGAAGTACTATACCAGGATAGGCGCCATCATTACTTTCAACGGGGACATAGAAGCAGCCCAGCGGTGTTTTGATGCAGCAATGAAGGGCCTTAGTACAACTGGTCCCCCGACCAAAGCAACTAAGCTTCCTCCCATCCAGGAGAACAGACCGAAGGACCACGTCGACGCTGTAGACCTCGACTGCCGCTTCGCCGAAGAGCCAGATCACAAGGGTGAAGCCGAAGACACTCCTCTAACCACCAACGAGCAACCTATCCACCTAACGCGCCCCCCAGACGGGGACTTCGAGATAGTAACCCTCGGCGTAGACGCGACTGTCATACCCTAAATTTGTCCTACCCCTTTTGTAAATATTTTCGCATTTATTGTTTCATGCCGTTTAGACACGTGTCCACCCGAAATTGGGCGTTTTTCAAATTTTTTCTTTTTGACCAATTAAAGCGTGACACGTATCCTAAAATTCTTTGTGAATATTATTTTATTTCAATTTCTTAACTTTTCTCTTCCTTTTAAAATATTTCTAATTATATATATATATATATATATATATATATATATATATATATATATATATATATATATATATATATATATATATATATATATATATATATATATATATATATATATATATATATATATATATATATATATATTAGATTATTTATGTTAATAATATTAATTAAGTTTATATCAATTTATTTGTATTAATTAGTATAATATTAGTTTTCTTATAGTTTTATCAATTTGCTTGTTATAGTTAATAGTTAGTATTGTTAATATTAATTAGTAGTTAATATGTTTAATTAATTAAAAACAAAAGAAAAATGTTTGAAGTAATGTTTGGATTTACATAAGGCCCACGATGGGAGGCCCGTTTGGTTTAGCTTTAAAAGAAGCTGAAGGAAAACCTAGGGGGATCACTGTTCACGGTCGGAATTCCCAATTCACTCAAAAGAAAACCCTAAATTCGATCTTACTATTCCTCTCCAAAAACGGCCGCCGCCCCAATTCACTCCGAAACCCTAGAACACCAGATCCGCCTCCACCCTCATCGTTTCTTGCTCTCAATCCTCCGTGCCATCACCCCTCACCGCCATCAGAAAACCCCTTTTATCCTCCCTTCTCATTTCTCGGTTCACCCTTGTTTCTCTGTTCACTCCGTTATTCATCGCATAACATTCACCAAACAGCGACAATATAACCATCTCCACCGGCATCGCGATAATAGAATGTTAAGGTTATCAGTGGTCGCACTTGTGCAGTAATAACGATTTGTGGCTGTTGTGTGGGTTCATGCCAGTAGATCATCGCTGCCAACGTGTATTATTCGAACCGTTCTGCCACAGTAAGAGG